CTCATCTCCATTTCTAAGCCAAAGAGCCAGCGTTGTCCATAGACACCTCCAAGATCATGTGGCCAGCATGACAACATGGAGCGCCGTTACCTTCCCCCCGGAGCGGTACCTATTGATCTACTCACATTTGCATGTTTTCGAACTGCTAAGTTGGCAGAAGCTAGGGCTGACAGCGGAAGCTCACGCCGCTCCCTGGAATCGAACCTGCGACCTTTTGGTCAACAAGCTCAGCAGCTCAGTGCTTTAACCCACTGCGCCACCGGGGGCCCTTTCTGTGTTCCATATTTGGTTCAATTCCATCATTGGTGGAGTTCAGAATGCTCTTTGATTTTAGGTGAACTATACATCCCAGTAACTACAACTCGCATATGTCAAGGTCTATTTTCCCCCAAGAGTGCCTCAAGAGCGCCCCTGGGCAAAATCAACTATACTGCAAATGCTTACTTTGCATAATGGGTTGAGCCGCCCCTGGATGGGAATAAAGTGCTGGAAAAAGTGCTGGAAAAAACAAACCACAAATTAGGGCTGGGCAGACCTGAGCTAAACTGAGTTATTCAAAGGCACAGTGGAACATCCAAGTTTTCAACATAAACTTCCTCACAAACATATTCTGTCAAAAATGTGTTTCTCTGATTAAGAAATCCAGGAATTATTTTGTCAAGGTAAGCAGTGGAGTTGTTTGAGTGAGATGTAGATATTCATTGATCTCTTTTTACAAATAAAACACACCTACCTTTCATGGTTCTACACTCAATTATAGAAGTCTATATTCTTAAATTACATGTAATTTAAAATTATATGGATGTATTCTGGGAAATATTAACATTACTATTGAAAAACATATATATATATATATATATATATATATATATATATATATATATTACCCTTCAAATTTATATAATTTCTATTGCATGCTTGCATTATACAAATATCATTTCGCTTTCATGGGATAATGAAGTGAATGAGACCTGTATTGATCCCTGCACATAACTTTAATTTGCAGAATACAATTTCTCTATAGATTGTTGTTATTGTCTCTTCTTACTGGCCAAGTTCTGAATACCGTTCAGTATGAGTTACATGAGCTATATTCCTAATTTTTGGTTGCACAGAACTAGCATGATATGTATTCATTCACATTACAGACATTCGATTTCTTTCTTAGTGGAGTTAAGAGAATAATGCATCTCTTATCAAATGATGTATTTAATAAGTATTAAGCTATTCTATAATGTCTGAATATGTAACAAAACATTTGAAAAGGATATTATTGTGTTGTCGAAGGCCTCCATGGCTGGAATCACTGGGTTACTGTGAGTTTTCTGGTCTGTATGGCCATGCTCCAGAAGCATTCTCTCCTGACATTTCACCCACATCTATGGCAGGCATCCTCAGGGGTTGTGAGGTCTGTTGAAAACTAAACAAATGAGGTTTATATACCTGTGGAAAGTCCAGGGTGAGAGACAGAACTCGTGTCTGCTTGAGGCAAGTGTGAAAGTTGCAGTTGGCCAGCTTGATTATCATTTAGTAGCCTTGAAGCTTCAAAGTCTGGTCACTTCCTACCTGGGGGAATCCTTTGTTGGGAGGTGTTAGTTGGCCCTGATTGTTGCATGTCTGTTTTCCGAGTGTTGTTCTTTATTTACTGTCCTAATTTTAGAGTTTTTAAAAATACTAGCAGCCAAATTTTGTTCATTTTCATGGTTTTCTCCTTTTTGTTGAAGTATTCATACAGCTACTGATTGACAAAAATGTTTTTTAAAAGCCACAACAGCTATCTCATATTAACCAATAGAACTTTCACTTTGGGATTTCTTCCCAGCGCAGCACAGAGATTTATTTTATTTTATTTTATTTATATACTGCTTTTCTCAATCCTGGGGGGACTCAAAGTGGTTCACAACATAATCAACGGCAAAATTCAATGCTTCACATATATAAAAACATCACATATCAAATCAAGAACAAATGACTGTAGATTAAAACCATTAAAACTATAAAACAACAAACAAAACAACAGTAGAAGGATCAGTCAGTCCTCTTTGCAGATTCAACAATTTATTGCAACTCTGGCTGCCTGCTGCTACAGAGGGATAAATCTCTCCATTATCCCGACTGGGGTTTTCTGATGCTGAGCAGAATTCTGGGAAATGTAGTTTAGGGTAGGGCCTTTTGAATTCTCAGGCTGTGATGGCATGTCTGAGCCTTTGGGGAAACTATAGTGTCTGGCTTTACTCGGCAGCTATCTGATACCTTCTGTTAAGATTAAGACCCTTAGCAGACAGAGGCACTTTGAGCCGAGTTGGAAAGATAATCAAATGAGTTTACTTAAACAGGATGAATAAAGGGTTAACTCCATCCAGGACTATCATAGGATAACGTAAAACAATACATTACAAAAGGAGAACTCACTGGTTGCAGGCAGCTTTCTGGGATTTTATGCCTCTAATGCAAAGCGATGGATTATAAATTGTTGCTTACAAACTGTCTTAACCTTCTCTCCTATGAAGCTTAGGCTGACCAAAAGCTTCTATTGTGCTTTGGACTGTTGCTGTAAAATACTGCTAAATACAGCAGCAAAAGAAAGTGCTAAGAATGCCTGTTTGAACTGCTAGACTAGGATTCCAGACAATATCCAGGCCTCTAAGGCTCTATTTCTGAAAAGAGGAGGAGTCCAGCAAAGAGCTCTGTGGGGAAATGGAACAAACCAACTGAGGCAGGCCTCTGAGGAGTGTTTTAAACTCCACCCAGAAACTAATGCAAAGGAAGGTCTACACTATTGGGAAAGCCTACAAACAGGGGGAACTGAAGCACCCATACCTTGGGAAGTCTGATCTGGTCACGGTCGTCCACACTCTGGTTGCATCCTGAATAGGTTACTGCAATGCACTCTACGTGGGGCTGCCTTTGAAGACGGTTCGGAAACTTCAGCTAGTCTAACAATTGGCAGCCAGATTACTAACTGGGGCGACGAACAGGGAACATACCACCCCCCTATTATGTCAGCTCCACTGGCTGCTGGTCCATTTCCAAGCCCAATTCAAAGTGCTGGTTTTGACCTATAAAGCTCTATACAATTCTGGCCCAGCTTACTTATCCGAATGCATCCACCCCTACGTCCCACCTCGCAATCTAAGATCATCCGGGGAGGCCCTGCTCTCATTTCCATCAACAGCACACATGTGTCTGGCGAGGACGAGAGACAGGGTCTTCTCGGCGGTGGCTCCTCACCCATGGAACACACTCCCAATTGAGGTAAGATTGGCTCTCTACCACCTGGCTTTCCGAAAGAAATTAAAATCATGGTTTTGGGACCAGGTTTTCAGACAATAGATGCAAGCAGCACTTTAGATGGACATTGACTGGAACGACGATATGGCTGATGAGATAGTTTTATGTTTTAATGATTGCTTATGTATTGTTTTTAACTATAACTTATGTTCAATTGTGGTTTTATTATTGTAATTGTTATGTAGTGGCATCGTAACGGTGCCCATTGTAAGCCGTCCTGATTCCCCCTTCGGGGGTTGAGAAGGCAAATAAATAAAGAAACAAACAAAGGAGGAGAAGGCAAAACCAAGACTTCACATTGGCATAGGGCTCCACGCCTTCGCAAACTACATTCCCCAGAATTCTGTGATTTTTCAGTCTCTTTCCCAGCGAACTCTGCTTTCTCCCTGCTGCTTCCCTCTCCTAATGGCAAGAGGCCATTACGATAATTTAAAGAGGAATGGCAGCCTTTTTGTCTTTATTTTGCTTACTTGCACTGAAAATGGAAGTCACTTTGGGAAGCTTCCAATATTTAAAAAATTA